GAAAAGATGCTGTACAACTGTGTATTTCCCCCCTCCCCCTCCCCCAACTTCTCTTCTGTATCCCATACCCTACCCACCAACCTACATACCATAAATAAAGAATTAAAAAAAAAAAGTTGAAAAAGGGGAAAAAAAATTAAAAATTCCACATTTTTGCTTATAATTTAATAATTACACATGCAGTACAACTAATTAAAATAACTCAAACTCTATATATTTATATATATATATATATATATATATATATATATATATATATACAATGTACAGCGCTACGGAATGTGATGGCGCTATATAAATAATAAAATAATTATATATATATATGTGTATATATATATATATATTAGGCATTTAACTATATATATATATATATATATATATATATATATATATAGTTAAATGCCTAATATGTTTAGGATCTAAATACATTTTTGACAGGTAATGGTAACCCTATAATAACTTCCACAGTAATGCTTTACCAACCATACCCTTTACCCAATGTTTACACTATCTCTAACTATATGCCTACCCTATTCTTACCCTTAACTTCATTCCTACACTATATTTAACCCTACAACAACTCTAACCCTACAGCTAACCCTACTCAACACTTACCTCCACCTTAAACTTAAGTTAACCCTCTGCTAATATCAATTCTGACAAAAGAAATGGGTTTTAGGTATTTAGCACAGTAAATGGTGGTATGTTGCCACCATCTACTGGCCTTTTTCAGAATTACACTTAGCATTATTGTATGTGTGTCTGTGTGTGTGTCTGTCTGTATGTATGTGTGCGTATGTGTCTGTATCTGTCTGTGTGTGTGTCTGTGTGTATGTATATGTTTCTGTGTGTATGTATGTGTCTCTGTATATATGTGTGTCTGTTTGTATGTGTATGTGTGCCTGTATGTATGTGTCTGTGTGTATGTATGTGAGTGTCTCTGTATGTATGTGTGTGTCTCTGCATGTGTCTGTATGTATGTATGTGTGCCTGTCTGTTTGTATGTATGTGTGTGTGTGTCTATCTGTATGTGTCTGTGTGTATGTATATGTCTCTGTATGTATGTGTCTCTGTATGTATGTGTCTGTAGGGGGCGGCGGGGGAGTATGGATCAGTTTTGCACCGGGGCCCCGTGGATTGTATGTACGCCACTGCATAAGCTCCCCACAAAATGCTGGAAATAGTGTGTTGAAATGGGCACCTTTTAGTGCTTATGGACTTCTCCAAAATTGAAATCTTAGGGCTCAGTGTATCATACCCTCTCTCCTGGGTACTCCGGAGACCATTCTCATTGGATCCAAGAGTGCTCCTACTATCAAAACCCTTTGACTCCTTTAAAAGAACAGAAAATAAACTAACTTGTATATATGGATTTTCCCCTGTCCTTTTTCCCTCTCTGTCACTTTCCCAGTGGCGTACTAAGGGGGAGGGGGGGCGGTATGCCCCAGGTGCCACTCACTAGGGGGGTGCCCAGGGCAGTCTGCAATGCCCCTCCTGCGCACATCGCCGAGACCGGTCTGCAGCTCCGCAGTGTGCAGAGCTGCAGACCATGGGTCTCGTGAGCACTGCCCAATCAGAGCGTTGCTGCGGGTTACCACGGCAACGCTCTGATTGGGTTTCGCGAGATCCATGGTCTGCAGCTCTGCGGAGCTGCAGACAGGAAATGATGGCCACCGGACCACCAGGGAGCCCACTGGACCTTCAGGGATTTAAGGTAATTTTTTAGTCCCCCTTGCATCACCCCCCCTCTCCTCATCACATCACCCCCCTCCCTCTACTCATCACCCCCCTCCCTCATCATCACCCCTCCCTCATCCTCACCCCTCCTACTCATCACCCCCCTCCCCATCACATCACCCCCACCCTCTCACAATCACCCCCCTCCCTCTCACAATCACCTCCCTCTCACAATCACCCCCTCTCACAATCACCCCACCTCCCTTTCACAATCACCCGCTCCCTTTCATTCTCACCCCCTCGAGCTCCCTCTTACTTCATCCCCCCACACCATCACCCACCCCCCTCCCCTCATCACCCCTCCGTCTCCCTCATCACCCTCTACCTCTCGTCACCCCATCACAATCACCCCCTTCGCCTCACAATCACCCCTTACTCTCACACCACCCCCTCCTTTCACAATCACCCCCCTCCTCACAATCACCTCCTCCCTCTCATCCTCACCCCCTGAGCTCCCTCTCACTTCACCCCCACACACCATCACCCACCCCCCTCTCACCATCACCCCTTCCCTCACACCATTATCCACTATACAAACACACACACTGCATTCACTATACTAACACACACACACACACAGACACACTCTTATACATGTGTGTCTGTGTATCTGTATGTGTGTTGGTATATGTGTATCTGTATGTGTCAGTGTGTGTCTGTGTATCTGTTTGTGTGTGTGTTTTTATCTATATGTGTGTTTGTATCTGTGTGTCTTTCTGTATGTGCCAGTGTTTGTCTGTGTATGACTATTTCTATGTAACTGCATGTGTGTACCTATGTGTCTGTGTATGTGTGCCAGTGTGTGTATATGTAAGTATATGGATGTATGTATATGTACATACATCTCAGCATTTCGCCTACACTACACACAAATACAACCCTGCACCCAAATGTCAACACTACAAAAAAAAAACACCACCATATTCAAAAACCACACTACAGAAAAATGCACTCCTGCATTCAAATGCCAATACGTACAAACACACCCGTACATTTCACTCACACATACTCCATACAAAAGCATGCTTACATTCAAACACACAAACAGTGCTTGGTCCTAAATACATAAAAATAAACACACTGTGGGTGCCAAATATAGGATCCGCCCCGGGTGCCAAATGCTCCAGGTACACCCCTGCACTTTCCTACTATTTATTCGAGATTCTATGGAATTCATCATTTGGATATTATATAGGACGGATTCAAATGAACCTGTGTGATTCATTGCGAGCCAGATAAGGATTTTGTCTATGTAAGTTCCATATATGGGGGTGAAGGGTGTGGAGACTGCTTAGCTCTGGTTCCTTATAACACTTTTAAGGTATAAACTTGTGCTTTGCTTATCGTGTTTATGAAGATAAACACTACTATGGAGTAAGTCTTACTTGTTAATTCCACACAACATATTCCCTGTTCCACCATCTTTTAGGCCATGACTACATTTTATGCTCCCAGAGGTAGAACAAAATAATTGTATTCAAAGAAAAATTTAAATTTGTCATAACTTTGATGTATTGATACCTTAGCGAGGATGTTTGTTATGGGTGGTGATACTCAGAAAAATAAAAAGTAGACCATTAACAGAGTTACTTAAGGTGTGCTTTATTCATTAACAACTACCTCCACTTGTTTATGTAATAATATTGATAACAGTCAATGTGGCTTGGGAGCACCTTCCATAGATACTGGAGAATGTTTGTTCCCAGGAGATCAGTGGCAGCTGTGTTGTGTGTATAGCTGACATAGCAACCAGCAAGGGTGGCTTTGCTCCAGGAATTAAGTCTCTGGTTTTCTGACATAGCTATATATTAACATAGTGCAGAACAAATGAGATGCTGACAGAAGGAGCATGAAAATACAAGTCATAAGTCATAATTAAGGACCATATTTCCAATTATGTTGGGAAAACATGTCACGCTAAAATAGTCCATAAATGGAGAGCATCCCTGAAGGCTACTAGTGGCCAATGAGTGTTTAATCACTTTTTCCTTTGAGGTTGGCTTTACCCTGTACTTCTTTGCTTTGCAGCAGAGCTACTAATGTAAGGATAGAGATGTAACACTTGGTGAGTATTGCAAAGAACATTTATGTTTCCATCAGCTGACTGATCTTCCCTAACATACAGGCATTAAATATTAAAGAAAGTAGTGTCAAGTGTCTGCTGTAGTGGTTATGATGTGAAGAGTACCTTGGCCCCGGTATTGTGGCAAACAATTTAGCAACTGGCTACTAACTTACCTGGGTCCTGTTGGGTGCCAAGTCTGCTTTGGAGCAGGTCTACCTATGTCTGACTTCTGCAGAGCTACAGAAGCAGGATCCCAATCCGGACAGTCATTTGTTGGCTTAAAACTTCAACTGATTGCTGTGTTTGCATAGAAATATGTGCGGTATTGACATTAGCCAACTTGGAACACTTTAGTTGGCCTGGCTAATGATGCCCCGATGATGTTGCCAGAGGTGGACTTGTAACTCTGGCAGCAAAGTGATTTAAATTAATATGTGTAGCATTTTGAAAAACTGCACATACAGACTGAAAGCACCATAACTCATTGTCAAGTAGTAATAGAGTTTGGATTAACCCTTTGAAGTCAAAAGAAAACTCAATGACCCCTTTTCTAAGTCTCCATCTTCGGAGCCATATCGCTACCTGTCTACATAAACCACACTGACTATGAATGTTAGGCTTTAATAAAAGAAAAAATACCAAGAACAAGCTGCATTGCCAAAAATTAAATACAATCCTGCCTAGGCACACTACTAAAGCAATGTAGAAGGCGCATAGCACAGCTCCTCTACCCAGCACCTTCCTCTTAGGGGAACCCGCCTCTCCCCATTAAGAGGAGGAGGAGAAATTTGCAAGTTACCTCTTCATATTGGGGAATTCTTGAGAATGAGCTGCTTGATGTAAAAAAATAAATTAAAAAATTCAACTATATCGTACTGCCCTTTTACCACCAGTAGAGATTTGGCCCCCACATACAGAGCACAAAGCAACCCCCCTCCCTCTTGTCTGTTGGGTATATCAGATGGTATTGAAGCCAACTAGACTAGCCAAGAATCTCTGTACCAGTGGTCAAACCTCTGAAATCAGAATCTTCAATACATACGTATGCATTCCCAAGCAGTAGCAAATACGTCACAAAGTCATGCATTGCCATGTGTGTTGTGACCGTTCGATTTCCCTCTTTGCCACATTACATTCATAAAGTACAGTATTGTGTTTTTTTATTTCATAATTTGTTTTATTAGAAAAAAAAAAAAACCTTTTTAATTTACTTCTTTAACAATTCTTTAAATATGTTTGTAATATTTCACCAGGACATAGTAACACAGCTGAATATATTTACATCATAATTTTCTATGTAAAATTAATATAGCCATGTGAATTACTGACTAATTTCTGAATACCAATCTTAAAACTGTTTCATCTTTTCTATTTTGCAACTAGTTACCTATGCCTTCCTGGCACAGGATAAAAAACAAAACAAAACACCCAGAAACAAAAATCATTTAAAATAGTAACAAGTTATTTCTCAAGCCTCAAGTTTCAAAGATATTTAAAGTGCATCAGGATATATGATGGGACATAAACAAGGACTTTGACATTATAATTGATATAATATTCGAGACATTTCTTTCTGCAACATACCACCTATTATACAAACCAGAGGTGCCTAATTTAGGATGAAATTAATACAGTGCAATACAAAACATATAGTATATATTTTAATAAAGCTAATATCTTAACTGTAGTATATAAGTGGTTTATTCACAAAACGGTGTGTTGTTGCGTGTCGAAAATCTATGAAAAAATGCAAAATTCCATACACATATCTCAACTCAGTGAATAAGTCCTTAAATCTAGTTTATAGAATCAGAGTCCAGCAATGTGAACAATCCCTACAATCTTACTGGTGCAGAAGATTATATAGCATTTTAATTTAGAAAATGGAAAAGACTAATGCTTTCAAGTAGGTGGTCATTTAAAAAGCTATTAGCTAGCTGAAATAATAAATTAATTTCTGATTGTAAAATACATTACATGTGTCTTGATTACACAATGCATTAAAACAGAATGAGTTTCTAGCATAGTAGAATAAAAAAGAAAGATATATGATGCTTAATTTAAAGGACCCCTTAATGCACCCAGAACACTTTTATTATTATTATTATCACCATTTATATAGCGCCAACAGATTCCATAGCGCTTTACAATATTATGAAAGGGGGATTTAACTATAAATTGGACAATTACAAGAAAACTTACAGGACCGATAGGTTGAAGAGGACCCTGCTCAAACGAGCTTACAGTCTGAGCTGAAGTGGTCTGGGTGCTGTTGCGCCTGTAAAACATTGATGTTTTATATGTTTACCATGATGGGTTAAACATACCCCTAGTGGCTATCACATTGACAGCCACCAGAAACACTTCCACTGTGACAACAGAGTGAAACTTGGTCATGTGATGTTCAACACATACAGCTGAGGACCAGGGCTGGACTGGGAAAAAATTCGGCCTGGGCATTTTTTAACCACAGCGGTTCCCTGAAAAGGTGGCGGGGCCAGATAGGGTGTGTTTTTTTCACCCTCAATGACAAGCATGCCCCATCTCAAAGTGAGCATGTTGGTTCAATGCTCTTCCAGGGCAGACCATGTGCAAAGCCCTGCTGAAGAGCTCTGGCATGAGAAAAGGGCCCTGTATTTGTTCTGCACAGCGCAAGCAAATTTAATAACATGCTTGCATTGTGTTTGCTTGAAACGTATCTCAGGGGTTTCCATAAATGGAAAAAAATACTCACTGTATCCCATTTATGGAGACGCTATGTGTTTGCTTACAAGGAATCTAGTGTGTGCATAGGGGATACAGAGTGTGTATGTCAGAAATGTAGTGTGTGTAGGGGATCTAGTGTATGTTTGAAGGACCCAGAGTGTGTATAGGAGATCTAGTGAGTGTGTGTGAGTGTGTGTGTGTGTGTGTGTCTGTGTGTGTGTAGATGATTCAGAGTGTATATAAAGATCTAGTGTGTGTATATGAGTAGATGATTCAGAGTTGGTAAGGGATCTAGTGTTTGTCTGGAATATAATGTGTTTCGGGGTGCAGTATGTGTGTGAGGTGTTCTGTAGTATTTATACATATATGTTTGGAAGTATTGTGTATGTGTGAGTGGTGCAGTGTGTTTGGGGGCTGATGTGTGTATGTGTGAGGTGTGCAGTGTGTTTGTGAAGGGTGTAGTGTGTATGTGTGAGTGGTGTAGTGTGCCTTTGTGAGGAGTATAGTGTGTTTTTGTGTTAGGTGTGCTGTGTGTGTGAGTGAGGGTGATGTGTGTTTGGATGATGTGTGTGTTAGGGTGCTGTGTGAGGGTGCTGTGTGTGTGTTTGTTAGGGTGCTGTGTGAGGGTGATGTGTGTGTGTGTGTGTGTGAAGGTGCTGTGTGAGGATGATGTGTGTGTGTGTTAGGGTGCTGTGTGAGGGTGCTGTGTGTGTTTGGAGGGATTGTGTGTTGGGGGTCGGCAGTTTAATGCCAAGATTTATGTATTTATTTATTTTTTATAATCAAAACAAAACCTGATAAAACATACATTATACCCGACCCCCCCTTCCCCCTTCTTACCTGTAGCCATGGAGGGGGGACCGTGCATCTACATACAAAAGAGGAAAACATTTAAATTGCCTCTTGCAAGAGCAAATTAATTTATTTGGCCATTTGCTAAAATGCTTAATATGAAATACAATATTTCCAAAAGCTAAAATGTTTCTACTACAAACTACTAATGTAGAAAACATCGTATTACTGGCATTTTAAAAAATCCATTTACTTGAAATAAAAATCCTGATGGCTTTAGTCCCCAGTGTTTAATGTTCCACTGCTATGATGTAATTTTGTGTAGACGAGGTTGTTGTTTTAGTACATTCATTCAGTGACGTATGGACTGCCATGGTTGTTTGTAAAAGTTTAGGCCAGAATAGTCTGTTTAATATTTTTTCAGTTTCGAAATTGTGACATAAACTTTACAAATGCAGTTTAAAGACTAATGATCCTTATTAATATAACCCTTGACTGCCAAAGCATTTTGATTTAGTTTGGCACTATTTGAGATTTGATTTCATTCTCCGGCATAAGCAATCCTAGCTATTTAACCTCCACACATACACATCCAACCCTTTTAACAAGATGGAAAATTTGACGTAAAAGAGGACCTTGGTATATTGAATCATAAAAAGATCTTCAAGGTTATAAATAGATGGGCCATATTTATCAAAGCAGAAGCAGATGCTATTTTGGGGTTAAGTGCTAAATGAGGAGCAATCATCGTGCAGACAAATGTTTAGCACTTTGTCCCAGTATAGGAAATGTTAAATCTTAATAAATATGGTGATATCTTTCTGATGTATGTGTCTAGAATCTGTTAGGATGAGAGACTCGTGTAATGTCTGATAAGAAAGGGGATGCTTCATATGAATCAAACCACATTACAATTCACTTTTCTACATGAATGATTTGGAAACTAAGGATCTGTTTTGGGCTAGATATATGTAGAAGACAATAATTGCTATAGTCATATATTGTAATTAAGACCTTGATGATGGACATTTCCTGTTTATTGACCCCTGGCAGCATTGTATTGGCATACTATTTTGGAATGGCATTAAAAACCACATTGTAATGATGGCATACAAATAGCATACAAATCTAACAGATAACATGTGGAAGAACTGATCTTCACCATCTACATTCTAATTCATTTCTCCAACACCATTTATAATATCTCTAATAATGGAGTTAATGGTAGGTGTCATCAAATCTTCACTCTCTTTGTTCTATCAATGCACCCACATAACTTTCTCAAATTATAGTTATTATTATAAGCCCTTTATAGTAAAATCTTCACAGTATTCTGATATGCTCAACACACTCTACACTTGCTTTAGAAAGGGTAAAGGAGAATCCCAATTTTAAGATACAACTTCCTTCTAGAAGTAGAAATCTCTGCCTAGAACTATTCAATTTTCTCTTTCAGGGTCCATTAATGCGCTTCTATTGATGTAGAATCCATCTTTGACACCCAAACCCCCTGCCTGCCCCTTTCCTATCTTAATGTGGGTGTGTTGGTTGGTGGATGTATGGCAAAGTTTCATAAAAGTTTCAAGAAATGTACAAAAATATTGATTTAATTTGTAATATAACCATAGTTTAGTTCGTGCAAATAAAGTAAATTGTTTTCATTCTAACTCTTAACCAATTACATTAAGAAGTTCAATTCATCTAGTAATGCTTTGCCTTACTGCTTCCCTCCCCCCCTGCCCACCTCCCCACTGACAAGCTTTACTGTTTTTCCATGTGAAATATGGTTAAGAATGCTATGTCAGCATGCTATCTGATACTATACTATGAATTCTGAAGAAAGACTGGAATTCCTTGGTAACAGTTATTCATTTCCTCTTGTTTCCCAGCTGGGGTCTATGATGTGTATCCATAGAAAGCACAGCCATACAAATTAATCGTGTCTAAATAACATGCCAAGAAAAATAAATTACAAAACTACTTGGACAGAACATGCTATGCTTCTATTAAGAAGCAGACAAGCTTGTCATCTGACTAAAGGCATACTATATGCACTCAGAGTTGGAATGTCAGTGCTTGGCTGAGCAGGTGTATGTGTGGGAGAGCTATGCACTTTTCACTTATTCAACAACCGCAGTGCTTTGTAGTGGTTATGGTGCAAAAAGTCTTTAGGCACCATCTCCCTGGTTAGTAACAGAACATTTTGAGTGGTTTAAGAAAATGTGGTGGCCCCCTAGAGCCTACAAACCAGGCCCGGACTGGCCATCGGGCAAATGCCTGGTGGCCATGGGCTGAAGCCGGCAGGAAAGATCACAGGATCTCCCCTGCCGGCCCATGTGGGGCCCTCACTATTGGAGTGCCGGCCCTGCTGTGTGCCTTGATGGTCCGGCGGGGAGATCAAAGATCTCCCTCATCAGCCCACAGACACTGACATGCTGCCGCTGGCTGGGGAGGGAGAGGAGGACCTGTGGGAGCTCTAGTTAGCAGCTCAGCCGGGTTCCTCTTGCGAGGTAGGAGAATTGCCGCAGTTACCATGGCAATGCTCTGATCCTGCGACAGTGAACTCACCACTACGACCACCAGGGATTCACCTCCACTATGACCATCAGGGATTCAAGGGATTCACCTCTATGTCCACCCCCACATGCAAAGATTAGAAGGGAGGGAGGATATAAAGTATAGCTTTGTTTTTAAAAAATTAAAACAAACATATTTATGTATTACTTTCATCTTCCCCCCACTGCACACCAAACACACTAACTACACCCTTTACACACTTCACCCTTTACACAGACATACACATGCACACTGCACCTTTCATACAGACTGCACTTTTCTTACACACTGCACCCCTCACACACATACTGCACTCATCACCCCCAATGCACACCAAACACACACTAACTACACCCTTCACACACTGCACCCTTCATCCACACACACACACACACTACACTCACACACTGCACCCTTCACACAGACACACACACACACAGCACCACACACACACACAGCACCTTTCATACACACTGCACCCTTCATACACACACAGCCTCACACTGCACCCCTCGCACACACACACACACAAACTAAACTCCTCCCCCCCCCCCACTGCACACCAAACACCACAAAGACTATGACTAAGTACCTACCAAGAAACACATATGGATCGTGAACCCCTTCATTATCACTTGAAACAAAAATGATACTACAAGGCAGAAATAAGAAAAGTAAAGTGAAACCTACAGTTTATATTCCAGCAGTGCCTCATTGTTGTTACATTATTATTGTGCTACGTTTTAAACTATTTTGTTCCAAAATTTAGACTGAATGAATCCATCCCATACCACAGCCCTTCTGGCTCCACGGTGAGAGCAGAACAGTTAGTTTCTCTCTCTTTATCACTATATTATATCTCTAGGTCTTAGATTACCCAGCCATTAACTAGCACTCTGAAGTCTCTTCGGCTAATTAGTGTTGTCATAGTTTCCTGGTATTTGCTCAATTAGGGAACAGATTTACAGGACAGAAACTACATTAAAACTGTTATTTATGGCACTGCATGGGTTACTTAATTTCCATGTGTTGACTGACAAAGTATGTAAATTAAAATAAAAGAATCTGTAAATAATCGTTTAGCACAACCAGTAGCTAACTTTTAGTTACCAATCCAGTTGTGCTAAAATCAGTTAAATACAATCCTTCATTAAACTGGCATTAGCGTCAACGGGTAAATTTGCCTTGTTTACTAAACAGTTATTTGTAACTGAAATCAAACTTGCTCGAAAAAAAGCCAAAATAGCATAAATGGGATAATTCTCCGACCCCGTACTATTTGCAGCTTCAATCTTGTGGCTTATATTTTACAATTTATTTTGGTTCCAACATGTTAGGAAATTTCAAATACCTGAAATGTAACAGATTTAAATAGAAAACATTAACAAAAGGTCAGCAGAAACAAACTCCTTTAATGATGGTTAAAGGAACACTCCAAGCAGGGGCAGGCTGGGAAGGGGGCAAGGAGGCAATTGCCCCCCAGGCCACCCGCATCCAGCAAAAAAAGGAAAAATTTGAATCCCCTGCCTCTGGCTCCGGCCCTGCCTCTGGCTGAGGACTCAGATTTTTCCACTTACCTCACTCTTCCTGCAGCCTGCAGCCAGTGGAGTCGGCCGCCTCTCTTGATGATGTCAGGAGGAGGAGGCGTGACTTTCACTGCTCTTCTCCCAGGACCGCTGGGGAGTCTGGGAGAAGAGCAGAGGAAGGCACGCCCCCTCCTCCTGACATCATCAGGAGAGGCCGACTTCACTGACTGCAGGCTGCTGCTCCTGTCACCTGCCCTGTCCCCTTACTCAGCCCCTGTCCCCCCTCCTCAGCCCTGTCCTCTTAGTCAGCCCCTGTCCCCCCTCCTCAGCCCCGTCCCCTTACTCAGCCCCTGCCCCCCCTCCTCAGCCATGTCCCCTTAGTCAGCGCCTGTCCCCCCTCCTCAGCCCTGTCCCCTTAGTCAGCGCCTGTCCCCCCTCCTCAGCCCTGTCCCCTTAGTCAGCCCCTGTCCCCCATCCTCAGCCCTGTCCTCTTAGTCAGTCCCTGTCCCCTCCTCAGTCCCTGTCCCCTTAGCCCCTGTCCCCAACTTAACCCCTTGTCACCCTTCCTCAGCCCTGTCCCCTTAGTCAGCCCCTTTCCCAAATTGTAGCCATCAACCTACTTCAGTCCCTATCTCCCCTACATTTCCTAAACCCCCAAATACAGCGTATACCCTCCACTATAGCCCGTCCCCCCACAACAGCTCTGTCCCCTTACTCAGCCCCTGTCTACTGGTTTTAAAAGTGTAAAGTTTGGGTGTATGAGTATGTCTGTGTGTGTGTGTGCCAGTATGTCTGTGTGTGTGTGTGCCAGTATGTCTGTCTGTGTGTGTGCCAGTATGTCTGTCTATGTGTGTGCAAGTATGTCTCTGTGTGTGTGCCAGTTTGTCTGTTTGTGTCAACCAGTATGCCTGTGTGTGTCAGTATGTATGTCTGTGTGTGTCAGTATGTCTGTCTATGTGTGTGCCAGTTTGTCTGTCTATGTTTGTGTGTCAGCCAGTATGCCTGTGTATGTGTGTGTGTGTGTGTGTGTGTGTGTCAGTATGTCTGTCTGTCTGAGTCAGTATGCCTGTAACAGTTTCTTTCTTTGTGTGTCTGTGTGTGTGCCAGTATGTCTATGTGTGTGTGTGCCAGTTTGTCTGTGTGTGAGCCAGTATGCCTGTGTGTGTGTCAGTATGTCTGTCTGTGTCAGTATGTCTATGTGTGTGCAAGTATGTCTCTGTGTGTGTGTGCCAGTTTGTCTGTGCATGTGTGTGTGTTTGTCAGTATGTCTGTCTGTCTGAGTCAGTATGCCTGTAACAGTGTGTCTTTCTGTGTGTGCGTGTGCCAGTGAGTGTGTGTTTTTTAGTGTGTGCCAAATCAGCAAGTGTGTGTCTGTCACTGAGTGTCTGTTTAGGTGACAGCCGCCCCCTCCACCCCTCCTTTCAATCACATGGGAAAGGTGTTTTTACTCTCCTCTTGGTGCAATGGGCCACTTGACTGGATTTGCCCCCCAGGCCTAAGGCTGCCAGCCCTCCCTTGACTCCAAGCATTATAGCCGCTGCTCCCTGCCTCTTTTACCGCTATTGAGAGACGGAAGCTCCTGCTACAAGCTTCTATTAGCTCTCCTGAGCTAAGCCCACAGTACAGTGCTAGCTTATTGGCTAAGGAAGTCAGCAAATTGCTCTTAGCCAATGAGCTAAGCCCGGTACCTCCGGGCTTAGCTCAGATAGAAAGCTTCCGGCTCTCACAGAGGAAGAGAGTGGCACCAGGCGGATCCCAGGTACAAAGTAAAACTATTAGAAAACAGTTTGATTATTTACATTGGAAGAGTGTCAGGACACTTTTAGCACCATAAACACGACATTGCGCTGTAGTGATTTTAGTGCTTAGAGTCTTTCTTTAACGTGTGACACTATAGACTATCGTCCTCATGGTTCTTAGTTGTTCTTTTAGAGTAATAAAGGTTAGCAATCCCAGAATACTGCAGGCCATGGTGGAAATTTCATATATATATCTGTTACTAGCAGTTAACAAACATCTGTATTAAGATTCATGAGATAATTAAGCTTTACATACAGCAATTTCTCATTAAATCAGCATTCAGTTTTATCATTTATACTTGGCTAATAAAATTGAACTATTTGGCATTCTGATCATTCTTTGGTTTATATAAACAGGTTTTTGGGCATCTGCCCTTTTTTGCCTAATTGATAGCGTGTTCTAGACTATGCTAAATACCTTTCATTTTATTCACTAAACAGAGAAATCTAGTAAACTGGAAACCAAACCAAAACATTAAAGCTTAAACAGCAATGCTGTGGCAATAAGTGAGTTGGAGAATTATTTTCTCAATCAGCTATATTGGCCTACATGTTGTTCACTATTATTCACTGTTTGGTGAATAGAACACAAAAGTAATTATCTGTTTTAAGAAATAAATTACATGAAAGAGAAATGTGTTGTATAGTACAAAATGGTTAAAACATAAAGGATCACTTGATTCTTCTTTAGCATGCTATTCTCTACACTGTTATATTCAAGTTGCAATGGCTTTATGCCTAGGAGTTTTTTTTAATGTCAAACAGGACTGTAAATGACAGCCAAAAGGGGAAAAGCCTTGGTGTGATGTTACCTACACACCAGAGCACAGAGCTATTTAAAGAACATTTTCTAGGAAATCCAGAAAGTGATTACATTACATGGGATTGGAAATTAAATGATATCCTAACACAGAATATATAATTATTGTCCAAAACAAACTACAAAAGCCATTCTTACTACCTAGGTAATACCAAGTTCCAATTTCCAAACTATGTGAGAAAACATAAATAAATATTATAAAAGAATACCTTTAAGAGGAAAGTCATTTGTTTCCAGCAGTAATGAGTCATTTGCCAGGATGCTTTAAATGAAATTGTATTAAGCACAAAATTACTCTTGAGGCAATGGAAAGAATTGCTCATTCTAGGCCTCTACTCTTTCAGTGGAGTCAACTCTTGTGAAAAAAAAATCCACCAAATTCTCAGGCGATAGATTATCTCTTTATTAAACACATTCTAATTTTAAATCTGTACAAATATATATATATATATTTAAAAAAAAGGATAGCAGTATTATCCGGAAGCAACATAGTGTATATAGTAGCAAAAATATTACTTTATGTTACAACATTACTGTTTGTGTCAGATAGTTTAACTTATAGTCACATTGTGCTTGAAGGGACACTCCAGCCCCTAAAGCACTTCAGCTTGATTAAACAGTGCGTCCTTTTTTATTTTACTAAAGGTGCAGATTTTAATAGAAATTAACACTTTTATGAATTACATTTCGTACACTCCCTGATGGTTCGTCAGAAAACAACTGCTGTTGCCTCCTGGTTTGGTTAGCTCAGTGGAGCTAAACTCAAACGGCAGGCAATTGCCCAGAGCACCTGTCTTACAATCATTGAGCTGCATTGGGAAATCTGTGATTGGACAGCCGTAGAAATATTGAGTTGGGCTAGAAGGGAAGGCTTATTTGCAGCTTTGCAAACTGTCTTTAGCTATACCCCCAATGAATTTTATTTATGTTTGTATTCAGAAAGTGGTGTGTCCCTTTCAGGGGCAAATGTAGAATGCTGGTGTGATTCACGTGAATCAGATTGTGGTGTTGTTTGATTGTTATATGTATATTGCTCGCATATCTTCATAAAGCAGCAACCTCTTAAGGACACATGATGGAAATATTCTGTCATGATTCCTTTTTATTCCAGAAGTTGTATTCTTAAGGGGTTAAAGGGACACTATAGGCACCCAGACCACTTCACCTTATTGAAATTGTATGCGTGCAATGTCCCTTTCCCCCTTAGACTTGCAACCAAATATCGCAGTTTTAGAGAAGAGAGCCTCTAGTGGCTACCAGACAGCCACTAGAGGCACTCCCTGCAGTTACACAGAGCTTGATCAATGCTTTCCTATGGGTAAGGCCTAATGCATGCATGGTGCTCACCATGCATGTGCATTAGGTCCCCCCATCAGCTAATGCCAACAGAGGATTAACGCGACCCAGCGCCGAGGGACCAACGGGGCAGAGAGACACCTTAGTGCTAGGAATACATCTTTGTATTCCTAACACTAAAGTGTTCCTTTAACCTCTTAAGGACACATGACATGTGTAACATGTCATGATTCCCTTTTATTCCAGAAGTTTGGTCCTTAAGGGGTTAAGCTGTGTCTATTGACTAAATAGGGTTATTCACTAAAGTGTGAAATCAAAGTGATTTTTAATTTTAAGGCCAAAAGAACCTAAATGGAAAAACTCTAAACCAACTAGGGTACAAGTTTGGTTACTTTGGCCTTTAAAGATTTGAAATTCACTCTTGTGAATAACCCTTTATATTGTTTTATGTTACAAGAATCATATGCCGTGTGAGAAACACAGTGGCTTATTCACTAAACAGAGAGCTGTGGAGAATTTAGATAGGACTTGACTATTTTTAGCCAAAAAGGAAAAAGTAATCCCAGCTCAGCTTTTTCTAGCTTAGCTATAGCTATATTGCTTATTTACACATCTTAGATTATGTCTTTTGGGATACGATAAAAGCACTGTGAGTATGGAGACAGCAAGGAGGAGCATACGCTACATCTATAACATGTTTAAATCCTGTGTATACTTGATGCATGAATTCGTCACATAATATGTACATTTCAGGAATCACCAGTAATTACAAATATTAAAGGGACACTTGGGGCAGCAATACACCTTTAATACATTTTTCATGTATTGATTTTCTGCAAACACATATCTTTATGGTCTTCATAGGTTTTGCAAAAAAAAAAAAAATAGTACATGTTTCGCAGAATACTGCATTTGAAGCCACAACCCATCAATCCAGAAAAAGATGTCCTTATCAAATGTATGTACACAGTTCGGCCACGGACAGAACATCTGATCTGAACAAAAGTAACCTGCATTAGAAGGAGACGACACCTAGGTTGGCATAATGGTATCAGAGTTTATCTGTAGTTTCTCTGATTGTCTACAGCCATGTTATAAATTGCATACACTAGTCTTTCTGGCATCAGATGGGTGTGTAAAAGCATTCTGCAAAACATTGAATTGTTTATTGTTCAATAAGTATATTGATTTGATCATCAAATGCATTAAAGTTGTATTACTGCCTGGTGTGTCCCTTTAATGTTATATATAATATAAATGGTTTCTTGCAGCACTAGTTCAAAGAAAAGATTACATAATGTCACGATTACTTCAAATATATTTTATACCATAAGTGAAGATGATTTATTTCTTTACAAAAATGAGGTGCCTTTGCTGTTTGTATTTATTTCCTTGCCCTATGACAGACAGTATCATAATTACCACAAGCAGGGGCAAAAAACTTTCTTTTCTAGCAGTCTTTGTAGTTTTCATTTTGCGATAGAAATTTATGGTGATTACTGTATATTTGTTCTAAAGATTAAACTCAGGTTCTGTTAAAAGCTTTTATACCAGAATGATGACTACTACCAGTAACACCTGTCTGCTAACAGATTTTTATCAAAGAGACCATTTCATGAATTAGCAGTAGTTGGTATTCCAGTTACTGTGGACTACTACTCACATCTGTATAGCCTCATAGATGGAATTCTGGTGAGCCTGCTCTCTCACTATTCAGTGCAATAAAGGTAAATTTTGTCACATGACTTGCTCTTCTCAACATTCATCTTTGACACAATCAGCAGTGTTTAATGTAAACTAAAGCGGAACTGTCATGCCGAACGTACCTTTCCCTAATCGCTTCCCCTTCTCTCCCTCTCTAAGGATCTGTTTTTCATTTCTTTCTAACTGATCTAGTTTTCTTTAAAACATAAGACAAAGTATGGACTACTTTGTCTTATGTATTTTTCCTACGCTTGACCCACTCTGACTCACTTCATGTGGGAGGACAATAGGTCCCCCCCATTTTCATTTAGGGCCCCCACCCGCCGCTCATGGGTGGGGGCCGGGTGGAGGACAATTTTCAATAGCGAATTCCCAAGTGTTTAACTGGGCATACGTGGCAATTTCACAGCGCTATCTAATATGGGCAGATGATGTGTCCCACAGGGACTTCATTTGCCCACACAAAGATGGCGTCACCCAGGACCTAGGTCCGGGCACGAAATTAAGATAAAAAAATAGGTAATATGGGGGATTAGGGGCATTTGGAGGTGACTAGGGGGACAATTAGATGTAGTGGAGTCGGGAGGGGGGGTTACAAAAAACACAACTGGACTCGTCCATGACAGTGCCGCTTTAGCGTATTCAACATACCTACAGACTGCTTCATTTGCAGTTTTCATCGTGATATTTGTATAATGCCCGAAGCATTTTTTCTTTGCAAAAATGTAAAACTTTAGTTCCACCCCCTTATCTCAATTCCATGAGGAAATGAGAGACTTAATGTAAGAAAATACAAATAAACATTGCTCTTTTACAGAACATCCTGTGGATTGTTTCCTTATTCAAGTCAATGAGAGAAATTGAGTATTTGTATACAACAGAGGCATGGAAATCAATGCGAGGGCTCAGGATTTGTCAAGAAACCTCCACTATTTCTTAGATAAAGACAAGAAGACTAAGAAGTGGATTTACTGCAAAGTAAAAGAAATGGATGATGTTTTCAAGTGCATTTTTATGAGTTGTTTTTATAATGAACCAGGGGATGTTCCTTCAGTTATGTTTTTAATCATACAACTGTGACACGGTTACTGTCCTTTATCATGTCATATAACTGAAGAGGTCTGCAGTTGTTTGTATTTAGTGCTTTATCATTGTGTCAAACACATGGAAAACTTAAAGGGGATCTATATTTTCTCCAGATTTTTAACTTTAGCAATATACAAGATCTACTTTAGTTGGTTCAGCAGGGAGATTTTTGTTCATTCTCTATTTTTAAGAGACAGCACTCTATGTTTCAATTTCACCTTAGAAGGTATTCACAGGGATACCTTGACTTCTAATTACTGCACTCATGGATTGGTTATTCCTTTAGTGCATCTATTGCATATACAGCTGATATTCTCACATATTATAATAATTATTCTCACTCGCCTAAATAAATAATATTCATATTTTGTATTCTTGGATGAATCTGAACATGCATTTGTAGATTAACGCCATCATTATTATTTGAAAAAAATTGCAGGATAATTGCAAATCTTAGGTTAAATCAGTTAAATTGGATAAAATTCTTAAAATCAGTCTCTTGTCCAGTTTGGCAATTTTGTCATAGTTGTTACCCCTATCATTTTTACAAATGTAATTGCTTAGTAAATACAAAAAAAGGGGAAAAAAACACGTTAAAAAGAAACCTATTTTGTCTCATGTTTATAAAATAATTATGTCACTTTTTACAGATAATTCACTAAAATAGGTGTTTTTTTTAGTGGAAGTGTTTACTTATTCTTATTCATACTGACAATCTGCAAAACCTCTGAGATGGACATGGACTATTCATAGTTTCTAAAGCCCATGTTTCCTTTAAAATTAAATCCATATTACGCCCCTTGGACATTTGCTGGCGGTACATATCTTCAAGTATGCTGGGCTTTCTGCTCTGAAAGGATATGTATTAAAATTAGTCTAGTGGCTGCTAATGGTTGGGTAGTTGCTGCTAATGGTTTACAGCTATGATAGCCACTATGCATCTTATGTTGAGAATAATTGTCCAGGTC